GGTTGGTTGGGGTTTGTTGCTTTGAAACAGTTTATTGAAAAAGTTGATTTTGCTTGATGTGTCTAAGGCCTTAAAGAAGCCAGAGCATCTGATAGTGGCAAACTGCTGGTGTACAAACCAGCAGCCTTGTCCCAAGGTGTGGGGCAAACAGCAAACTCTTACGATGGAAAAATCAGTGGGGCATCAATCTGTGTCCCATTACATTATTTGGTGAGGAAACAATCTGTAAGAGAGGCCTTTGGGTTGAAATGTTGGAAGAGATAGAAGCAAATTGGAATTTTGAGGTGGTTTTTTAACCAGAAGTTTTTAACACACCTGGGTGATGAGACTTCTGTGAGGGCAGAAGATCAGGGAATAGTTCTGGCACCTCCCAAGCTGGAAGTGAGATGCAGTCATATGGCAATGACACCCTGCCCTATGAAAAATCTCCTTATTGTTGAGTGGGGGGTTTGAAAAGGGCATCTCATTTCTCCTTTCCTCTTTTCTGGAAAGCTTCACTCTTCCAGGCTCAAAACAGACCTCAGTAGGGTTAAACTCTTGCTTTGACCTAGGTATGTGATTGCAGGTGCCCTGGATGGAATTGCCATTCCAGTGAGCTTTCCCTGGAGAGGTGCTGGGTGTTGGGCTCTGCAGAGCCACCCTTGGAAAGGTCCATGGTTTTTTCCAAGGATGTAAATGCCAACCACAGCCTTGAACCAAAAAGACCAGAAGGCTGGGCCACCCTGCAGCCCTGGGACTCACACATAATGAACAGAGCAAGGATTTTGTCCGTTTAGATTAGATGAAAACTCCAGGAGCTGCTTGGACCACGAGTGGCACAGAGTGAAGACGCTTCACCGTGAGGTCCCATGTCCTGGTGGACCTCCAGGGATTTGGGATCCCACTGCTGCTCCTGCCATCCCTTTTAGAGTTACAGTGTGTGCACAAGGAATGTGTGTGATCCCTCAGAGCTGTCCCAGCTCTCTCCAGGGGTTTGTAGGGAATGGAGCTGGGCTGGGAGTGTCCGGGATCAGCTCAGCCGGGCAGAGCATCCTGGCTTGCAAAACTGCTGCGAGGGCAAAGGACAACCACGTGTCCAAACACAGCAGCACGAGGTGTTTCTTAACTCCCTGCTGAACGGGGACCAGGAGGAGTTTCCAGCTGATTTCCAGAGGATTCTGGTTTGCTGCCAGCGTTTAAAATACACCTTCTTTCTTGCAGACGTGCTCGAACACATGATGCTGAAATCGGAGGAATTCTGCTCAGGGAACTCAGTTCAACTTGCAGGAAAGGCTGAGCTTTTTTTAGGGAGAGAGGGAGAAGAGTGGTTTCCTGCGGACGTTGCTCTGTGAGTCACACGTTACATGACACAGCATTCCTCCCGGGAAACTTAATTGCTGGAACTGATGAGCACATCAGCGCTCTGGAATCTCCCTTTGTGTTAGCAAACACACCAAAGCACTTCACCTTGTGCTTCTGGAAGTTATTCTGATAATACTTCAGAGATTTTAAACTCAGCTGTTTCATGTTTTTTAGTTTCTCTCAGAACTCCATTAAGGTAAATATTTCTAGTTTCAAAAGCGACTGTCCATTAACAGCCTTCCACATAAGAAGTTGTAATGGCTGTTAATGCTGCAACACAGATGAAATAATTATTATTATTTTATTACACGTGTAATAATACAGTTTCCCATTAATTCTCTAAGTGTTTTAATGCAAACAAAGGTCAGAGTAGCTTTATAATGCTCCTGTAGCACATTTTTTTCTGATGTGTCAGTGACTAGGACAAGTTATGTGAACGGACAGACCAAAAAAAATGCTTTGAAGGTTTTTTGGAATACGTTGGGTGGAGGTACAGATTTACATTGCCCATGTGAAGCTGAATGAACACATCACACAGTCACAGTGCTGGGCTGGCCCTGCTGAGGGACCTGCAGGGCTGTGTCCACTCCTGGGTCCCCAGTCCAGGAAGGACATGGAGGGGCTGGAGCGTGTCCAGGGCAGGGAACAGAGCTGGGGAAGGGGCTGGAGCCCCAGGAGGGTCTGAGGGAGCTGGGAAAGGGGCTCAGCCTGGAGCAAAGGAGGCTCAGGGGAACCTTCTGGCTCTGCACAACTCCCTGACAGGAGGGGACAGCCAGGGGTGGGTCGGGCTGTGCTGCCAGGAACAGGGACAGGACAAGGGGAAACGGCCTCAAGCTGTGCCAGGGGAGGCTCAGCTTGGACACCAGGAGGAATTTCTCCATGGCAAGGGAGCTCAGGCCTTGGCAGGGGCTGCCCAGGGAGCTTTGGAGTCCCCATGCCTGGAGGTGTCCAGGGAAGGGCTGGACGTGGCACTCAGTGCTCTGGGCTGGGGACAGGGTGGGGATCGGGCACAGCTGGGACTCCATGGGCTGGGAGGGATTTTCCAGCCTCAGTGATCCTGGGATTCTGAGCAGTTTTTTCTTACTTTTCTGAGACTTTGGTTCCCACCCTCAGTGCTGGATTTCATCTGCTAATACACAATTCTTTTCTGATGGGAAAAAGGAGCTCAACATAATCTGACTGTTTTTGATGTTTAGGCAGATTGAAGCTGTCAAGGCAAGGAAGGCCCTTCCCCAGGCCTTTGGAAACACATTCCAGATGCATGAGGTGCTTGAATGTTCAAGACACATCAGCACTGGAGCTGCCCTTTCTCTTCAGTGTCAGCAGGCGATCTCAAATCTGGTTTTTGTGCCACATTGCTCATGTTCTGGTTGGAAAGAAGCAACATCTCTGTGGCTATCTCTTCTTCAGGTGTTTTTTGGCCGATTGTCACTCTCCTGTTGAAGCAGGATGGGGGAAGTTGGAGGTGAAAAAGCAACAACCACTGAACTGAGAGCTGTGCTCCCAGATATTCAGTCCTATAGAAAGAAAATGATGTCATCAGCTCAGGCTGTCCTCTCCTTCAGCCCTTAGGCTAAATATGTCCTGCCTGGACTGTGTAGTAGAAAAAAAACCCCTGCTTTGCACATCCTGTGGAAGAGTTCATTATGTTTCTTTTTGTTTGTTTAAGGTTTTACAGGGTGTTATGTTGTATCTGTCTGGACACATGCAGTATTTAAATGCACCATGGTTGAAAAGGTGTTCTCAAAGCTTAGCTTGCTTTTAATTACCTGTAATACTCGTCCAACTGTCTTCTCCCCTCCCTTCTGGCCCCACCTGACTCCTGGGAAAACAGGGCTGGCTTTGTTATGTGCCTTGAGGTCACTCAACTCACACAGGCTTGGATCATGGAGGGAAAGAATATCGCCAAGATTAGATCTGCTGGAGTAACACAAGAGCATTTCTGTCAAATATGAACGTCAGGAGGGAGTTACTGAGTTGGCCTCTGGCCTCACCAGGTGACTTTCGCTGTCCTGAGAGGTGTGTGAGGGCCCAAAGTAGACATGAGCGTCATCAGCATAACAAGGAGTCCTTGGCCTGTGGCATCTTCTAATTAAGCTGTATATTCCTTATATGTATTCTCAGTGGGAAGGATTTATGGGATTGGCACTGACTGAATTATGTCTAAGAAATCTTTAGGTGATGAGCAGTTACTGTTTTCACTCCAGAACCCCGCCTGGAAAGCGGGGCCAGGTTGGGCAGATGACATCTGTTGGGTGTTACAGAGCCCAGTTACTGAAACACTGCTGGGGAAAAAGAGAGCTCACTGGTGCCTCATTCCATGTCTCCTCAGATTTTAAATAAAATGGGCTGAGTTGGACGTGATCATGGGCCATTTTTAGGTGTCTAAACGTTGTGGAGGAGCTGATGGTGGGCACATTATTCACTGGATAGATACTTGGCTGTCTCCATGTGTTAGGAGCAAACACTGCTGGGCCATGTTCAGGGGCGTGGATCTAATTAAAAACCCCTAAAGCAGTTACTCCTTTAAAATACTTGTTTTTTGTATGATAGGATGAGTGGGGAAGGATTTCTGTGTGCAGCTTCTGAAAATACTTTTTCCACCCTGTACTTCTTCGATGTGGCTCTGCAGATTCCTTGGTATTCCTGGCAGCAGGCTCCCTCTCTCGGGATGGAGCTCAGAAAACTTGATGCTTCTATTTGTTACTGCCGGTGCCTATTTTTCAATTTCCACATTATTTCATCTGTGGAGTGGAAGCAGGCTGATTCCTGCGCCTCTGACTTCACTCCTGGGCAGTGTCTCTGTTGGATCCAGCGGACTGGGGAGAGTCCGTGCTCTGCTGGAAAACACTGCCAGCCCTGCTCATCCCATCAGTCTTCCCGACATGTGACTCAGCCTGCTTTGTGTTGTGGTTTTGTACTGAATTACAGCAACTCCTCGCTGTCCCAAGGCAGTGGCCAGCAGACATCTTCTGTCCCCTGTCACCTGGGATGCTTTCACCAGCCTTTCCCGCTGGATCTGCGGGCAGGAGGTCCTGTGTGCTTCCAGTCCTTGCTGTGTCCTTTGGGATAGAGGCTGGATGTCAGCCCCCGGGGGCTGGGGATGCTGCCTGGCCAGGGATTCTGCTGCTGGTGGCAGCGATGGGATGGAGCCAAAAAATTCATGGGAAGTTTGGGGAACTGCTTGTTTCGCTTCGTGTTAGTGTGGTGGAACACGACTTTTCTTTTTGGTGGAGGTTTTTTTTTTTTCTTTGTAGGGTGGGACTTAACATCTGGTACTCATATATATTGGAGAAAGGAATCCTTCCTCCCTGCAGTGACTTTTTCAGCTTTCCAAAGTGACACTTAATGAAAGCGTTCCATGCGTACAGCAGCAATCACCAGACTGAACTTAACCGATCAACCCCATTTATTTCCTTTTAGTTTCCAGTGTTTTAGGTGCTGTTCGCCGGTAGAGCAGCGCTGCCGGGAGCTGTTGCACCACCCGCGGCCGGGCTGGCACTCCCGGCCTCCTCCTCCTCCTCCTCTTCCTGCCGCTGCTGTTGCTCGTGTCGCGGGCTCCGTCCCCTCCTCTCCCGGCGCTGACGCACTGGCGCTCCCGGGGAAGGAGCTCCATCCCCTCTGCATCTGCGCTCACCTCTCCCCGTTTCCCTCCGCAGGCGCTTCCCGCGAGCAGCCGGGAGAGGAGCACTGAGGAAAGCCAGCCCGGGGGAAGTTGAAAGGCAACTTTGAACGCCGAGGAGGTCGGGGCTGGCCAAGGCGCCGCAGCCGTGTCCCCGTCGTGCTGCCGGGAGCGGCTGGCTGCAGCTGGGACAGGGACAGCCGCGTTATCCGCTGCGATCTGCCGCCTGATTTCCAGGAGTGAGTAGCTCTCCTCTCCGGATGGTCCCGTTTGAGTGTAAAGGCGTGTTTGGCTGCTGCTGGAGGGCCGGGGGCTGCGTTTGGGGACAGACATGGATACAGCCAGGTCTACAGCACAGCTCTGGGGAGTTGGTTGTCTTTTCTCTTGGGTGCCTTTTTAAAAGTGGCACTTTAGCTTGAGGTTACTTTGTTGTTTGCTGCTGGGATTTAATCTTAGTTTTTCGTTTAGTTTGGGGTATTTTTCACTAGGAACCAGCCAGGCTGCCAGCACGTGGGACAGCTGTGATCTGCCCGGGAGTCCCCTTGGCTTGTCCCCCAGATTGTGTCAGGGGTGTGCTTCCATCCGGCGGCTTCATCTCCTGCTGGAGCCTGAATCTTCCTGCGGTTTCTGGCTTTGGAGGTTTGTTGGCAGCACATGTGTAGGAGATAACCAGTTACGCAGCGTGGCGACAGCGTTGCTTGCACAAGCTAAAAGCCAGGGACAATCTGCTGTCCCTTTGTCACCCTGGGCAGCTATCCCCACGCCTGACCTCCCCCTTGACTGCTGCTGGATATCCCCAGGGCAGTTGTTTGCAGCGTTTGTATGAAAGAGCAGGAGGAAGAAGGTGTTTTAGGTTTAGTGAGGTGGTAGAGAGGCTGTGCCTGGGCAGTGCCGTGTGCCTGTGCCTGCTCCGTGTGTGTCACGGTGTCACCGCGGCGTGAACGCTGCCACGGTGGCCCTGGGTGTGAACAGCCCGTGAGTCACGGGGAGAACACAGAAATCCTCTCGGAGGGGCTGTGGGTGCTGCAGTAGGGGGAACAGAACTTTATCCATGAGCTGCACTCTGGATCCGCGGAGTCTTTCCACAGGAGCTGTGATCCTATTTGTGCGTTTTGGGCACAGCCGCCTTTTCTGCTCATCCTAAACCTCTTTGGAACTCAATGCTTTAATCTGGAAGCTTTCTAATAGATTTAGAGCGATGAGTCAAGGCGTTTTTTTTACTTGACTTCTGGGGAAGAAATGAAACCAAATTGCCTGCAGAAGCTCATCTGTGTATATTTTTTATACATGTTTTTGTGTATATGCACACACAAGTGAACACACACAGAAGAGCTACTCGAGGCGTTGGATTTTGGGCTGTGTGTGTATAGATGGGCACGTGTGTCTGCATAAAAAATGTGTTTTTATAGCAGGATGGTGTGAGCAAGCTGAGAGGAGCATGAATTTTTTCCTGCTCTGTCAAGTAATTCCCTGCCTACTTCATTTGCCAGTTGATTTGGTTATGCAGACAAAGGCAGGAAAACAGACCATAACAAAACCTCTCTTATCTAATGTGCTTACAGCACTGTCAGGTAAATCATTAACCCACAGGCCCAGTGCCTGTAAAAGCTGCTAAAGAGGTTTCCTGCCCCTGAAACTCCCATTTTCCAGAAGGTAAGAAGTGAAATTCCTTGCAGATCTTGGTTTCACACGTGGGTGTTTGTTGCTGCATGGTTTCTGTGCCTGTTAACAGAGTGCTGTAGTCCAGTGGATTAATGACGGGAGAGGACCTGCTCCCCCTGCGGTCTTTTTCCTAAGAGACCAGCTCCAGCTAAGGCAGAGGGGAAACACAGCATTTACTTACTTGTAAACACTGTCATTCATTAATGAAATGTAATTTCACGTGGGTTTATGGCTGATGGAGTGTTTGCTCAGCAGCTTTGTTTCCTGGCATCCTATGATTCAAATCTGTTTGAGCTGGGAAGATTTGGTACAGGTCTTGCTGTGCTTAATTCCACACCAGATTTCTGTTTTGGTTGACTTTTGTTTCTGTAGGCATATAAGAGATGGGTTTCTCTGAAGCATTTAATACCTGAGTCTGTGCAGTCCTGTCTGCATTTGCTTTACGTGTTGATCGATCGGGTTGGCAGCGAGTCTGTTTTGTGTGAGTAACTTAAAGCATGGAAAATCCGTAGCACATGGACAACAGCAGAAGTAGCTTCATTTGTGATGTTTGCAGCCGTAGCCTGAACAAAAGAAAAAGGGATCAAGAAGAGCTTAAGCTGCTCTAGTTGCCCATGTCCAAGAGCATGACTCAAAACTTCCAGCTAAACTCCTCTAAGCTCCCTGAGTCGGTGTTGGAGTTGTGCCTTTCCCCCCTAAGACGGGTCTGTTTTAAGTGCCAAACTCTCAGCCTGGCTGTCTTCTACCAAAGGTCTGCCAGAGGATTTCAGGTATCTCCAGGGAGCAAATGGGTCCAAACAAGGACTTGGAGGGCACAGCTCAGAGACCTGGACCTCAATTTCAGTGATAGCCCATGCCCCAAGTGCTGTGCGCCATTTGGCACGGCTCAGCACCCTGTACAGCCTGTGCTCTCTGTGCCTGGCTTTCCAGCTGCCTGGGAAAACTCCAAACTCCTCCTGCTGCTCAGGAAAGTGCCCTTTTTGCTTGGTTAACTTTACAGCCTGGCTGCACATTAGCTTTTTTGTGTCTGAGTTACACCTGACGCCAAGTGCCTGAGGGAGGAGATACCCAAACCTGGAGAAGGTGATTCCAGACCTTTCCCCAGGAGGTGTGGGCTTGTGGAAGGAGATCTCTGTACTGGGGACACCCCAGCAAGCGCTCCCAAGTGCTGTGTCAGGTGGTGATCTGCCTTGCAGAGGGCAGGGTGGTCCCTCCTCCCTGTCCTGGGAGATCCCGGTACAGGAGCAGATCTGTGCTCTGCATCCTTGCTCGGGCCTCTCTCCTTTGACTTTTTAGGGACAAGAGGTGCTGACTGGGATCTCAGCCAGTTCAGATGAGCCACAGTCCTTTGGGTAACCAGGTTGCCACACTCTGTGTGCAGTCAGAGCTGTTGTGGCCACAAGGGGCAAAGAGAAGGAGCACACCTTGGGAGTGCCTCTGCTGCTCCATGCGCACTCGCCTCTGGCCTGAGGATGGGATTTTTGCCAGGAAAATTGCCCTGATGGAGCACTTTGTTGTCTCCAGCTGCTTTCTGCAGCTGTCTGCATGGCAAAGGAGGTGGGGGTAATGACTCTGGTTAAAAATAGAAAGGCGGATTAGGAAATGTGAGGTATGGTTTCAGCATCCAGCCGGGCTGCTCTCACAACTCGCTGCTGCCACCGAAAGGGGAAGGATTTACTCATGCTCCGTGCCTGCAGAAAACCAGGAAAAGAGCAGCTTTTCCACGATAGAATCAGCCCAGGCACAGGAGAGGAGGAGGGGGATGCCTCTGAGAAAAGCTTCTTGAGCATTGCTGGCACAGGTGACACGAGTCCAGGTGTGCAGAGACTGGAATTCAGGTGAAGGCTCCCATTGGAAAGGTTGGGTTTAAGCTTCCAGCCACAGCCAAGCTCATCTGGGTTAGTCTGGCCAAGGTAAGGACAAGGAATTAAGGGGATTTACTCTGCTCTTTGAATTGTTCTTATTCTGCTGTTTTATGAGGAGAGTTCTACTTGGGAAAAAAAAAAAAGCAAAACCAACAAAATACTGGGGGTGTGATTTCACTGAATGTGGATGTGTAATGTGACACTCTCAGAAGAGACTTCGTTTTGCAATAAGTGTGTGAAGTGTCAGGAGAAAGAGTCAACAGACAAGCCAAAGGTTTGTGCTTTGGAAACCATGGACCTTTTAGGTGTTGCTTTTAGGAAGTGGTCACTGCACAGTGTTTTGTCACCAACCTTCTGTGTTTGTCACTGTTCCTTGTGATTTTCACTGGTCTGTTTGATACATTTTCTATTGCTTTTCCTAAAACAACTGAATTCCTAAAATCCATTTTAAAAAAAAAAAGTTTGTTTCCTGCTGCTTTTTTTTTTCTTTGGTTTTGGGTTTTTGAGTGTATTTTTGCTTTCTTTATTTTTTTTTAAACTCTTTATCAGCCTTTAGAACAGTATGAATTCTCCTGCTGCTCCTTGGTTCAGCTTCTGTTGCTGTAGCACTCCCAGCCACACACTGATAAACAGTGACCCATCCTGTACAGTGGTGAGAAAGAAATATCCAGGGGCATTTCAGATATGTTGGATATCCATCCTAGATAGAGCCTAAAACCCAGGATGCATCCTGTACCAAGCATTACCTGCAAAGGATGTGGTGAGGGGACTACAGCAGTTACTCATCATAGCTAGTGAATGTTTATATAATACTTAGTTTGGAAAACCTGTCACATTTCCTGGGCAAATACTTTGAAGACAAATGACATTTATTCTTTTGGAGAAGCTGTGAATACAGGGTGGAATTCAGTATCAAGTCAGAGTTTACCTTTACCTGGAATTGTTCCACCTTTTAAAAGTGAAATTAAGAACTGAAGTTGCACTTCAGCCTCCGAAAAAGAATCGTGAAGACAAGCAGGTATTTTTATTCAGTTAAGTTTCATAACACTTCAGCATGATTTCTCCTGAATTACTGGGCTGCTTTTCATAGTGTTTTCTTGTAAATTTAAAAGATCACTTCACAGTCTAGCAAGTTTTTCAGCACTAAGAATATGGATGCTGTAATACTTGATTTTTTTTTTTTTTTAAATAATGAAGCTAAACACATTTGACTCCAATTTATTTGTACTGGAGAAGCTGATGCTTTGGGATTGTTGGGTGTTAAGCATCAAGGATGAGAAGGATTTAGTTGGAACCAGCAAGTGAGTTTTGGTGTAATTTTGATTTCAGTTTCTTTATCTTCTCAGCTTTCTGGGGTTTTTTCCATATTATTTCTAACTCCTTTGGTGTTTTGAAATTTTCTCTTTTAATCTCAGCCACCTGCTTTGCTCTGGGGACATTGGTTTGTCCGTTCTAAACCAGCATGCCCCACCTAAATCCTGGCATTGTTCAGCTCTCTCTGTGTGTTTGGATGTTGTACTGAGGTTAAAGCAACAAGGAACAACCTCACCAACAGCACAGGCTGGAGGGACCTGCTGGAGCAGCTCTGTGGGGAAGGACCTGGGGGACACGGAGCTGTCCCTGAGGCAGCAGAGTGTCCTGGGGGTGCTGGGGGACACGGAGCTGTCCCTGAGGCAGCAGAGTGTCCTGGGGGTGCTGGGGGACACGGAGCT